CCTGTAGCCCCGCGCCAGGTCCCCGCGTGCAGAGACACGGGCACTGCGGTGGCTGAGGGGGACAGGGACGGAGACAGAGACGGAAGGAGAGACCAACTTGGGGCGGAGGAGGAGCCCACAGGCGGCCCGGGCCCTGGAGGCACGCATGCGCACATGCCCGCCGAGCCTCTTCCATCCAGTTACCCTCCGTTCAATTAAACGGGAAGGTCATCCACGCTTTGGGAACGGCCTCTTCCCAGACCTTCCCGACCATCAGGCAGTCTCTGTACCGAGTCTCTGTGCCCATGACTGCCCCCGACTCCCCCGGGGAGCCCTGCTGATGGATCCGTCCCGGACAGACACTTCCAGGCACAGGAGCTCAACCCTGGTGTGAGGTGGCCTCCCCGCTAGGCTGTTCTGTGGTACCTCTGAGGGGCCCAGAGGCATCTGCTTCTGAATCACCAGAGAAGCACTGCAGGGTCTGAGCCAGGTGTGGTGATTCGTGATTATAATCCCAGCATTCTGGGAGGCTGAGGCAGGATGACTCCAAGCTCAAACTCAGCCAGGAAAGCTCAGCAAGGCACTGACTCAAAAAATGAAAAGGGCTGAGGCTGCAGCTCAGTGTAGAGGCCCTGTTCAGGGCCACACACACACCCAGTACCACCCACCCACCCACACACACACACACACACACACACACACACACCGTCCGCATGCGTACATGGTCCCAGTCCTGCCCAGCGAACTGGATCGGATGGGAAAGGGCCTAGCAGTGGGGAAGACTTGCTGCACCTGTGGTTCACTGAGCATCCACCCACCAGACAGCATGGGTGAGGAGAAGAGAGAGAGGTGCTGGGTAGGGCATAGCAGCAGACAGGGCACCCGCCCTCAGCACCATCTTTGCAGGACATCTTGGAGCCAGGGTGCTGACACTAAGCGGGGGCCAGCCTGCGTTGGTGGTGTTAGCCCGTGTAGCCCAGAAGCCTGCGAGCTGCAGCCAAGCTCTCACCCAGCTGCCCGGTTAGTAAGGGAGCCCTTGTTCAAGAGTCTTGGGGTGGCTGGCAAAGCTGGCACGTGTAGGGTCCTGCAGGGAAGCCCCCTGGCTGGCATCACCCCTAACAGCCTCCCGGGCCGTGTGCACCAGGAGCCTGGCCTCTTGGATTTCTGACTCTCTGTTCCAGGCCAGGTCAATATGCCTCAGTTTCCTTCCCTCCCTGACTGTTGTGAAGATGAGGCCAGTGGGGTGGGGTGAGGTTCTGCAGAGCAGCTGACATCTGTGTGAAGCCAATCTGCACACGTGGACGCTCTGGGCCTCTGCAGCCCTGGGCTCCAGAAGCCACCCTTCCTGGGATGGGGAAAGGGAGGCGGAGCTGCAGGCCCGGCTGGAGCTCAGCAGGACCTGTGCAGAGAGAGGTTCTGTCCTGTGAGCAGCCCTGCCCGGCCTGTTTCCCCAGTCAGCAGTGGGCAGTGAAGGTGCCTGCCTCACAGAAGTTCGCTGGGTAAGGGGCCGGTAGGCAGGGAGGGGTGGGGGCCGCAGAGCAAGCATCATCGCCCCACCCTGGCCCAGACTCGGTCTCCAAGAGCAACACTCCAACACCCACAGACTCATCTGCATGTAGACCAGGCCGGAGCAGCACCAGATGCCAGGAACCATTGGGGCACTGGCTCTGCCCGGAGTGTGGCAGCGGCTATCATGAGGCGTGGCCCTGACACCAGGCCCATGGTGTGGGTGGAGGCCCTGGAGTCAGGCCGGGTCTACCCTGGGTATGGCCACAGGACGAATAACCAGTCTGACTGCACACGGGGTGCACTGGGGCAGCGGCGAGTACCAGGTCAGCTGTGACCCCCAGCCACGACAACCACGGTCCCCACCCAGAGCAGAGACCCTGGCTTGGGTCCGGCCCCACCTCTGGGAGACTCATGCACCACTATGGGCCACTCTGGGACCTGCACCCTGACCACAGGCTCACACACCCAGCCACGCTAAGCAGCCACGGCACACGGCTTCCCAGCTCCCAGGGCCACCCCTTGGCAGAACCCAGCGCAGAGGCTTTCGCACGCCAGAGCCAGATGGAGTGAGACCCACATGTCCCGCAGAGGTGGTCAGATCCAAACACACTTCCTGCCGGCCCAAGGGTCATGTACACCCCTCCTTCTCTTCCCCATTGACCTGTCCCGCGGCACATAAGTGGGGCATGTTGTCACTGTATCACTCGCTCGTCCCCGACAGCTCAGCCTGCCAACATGAATGACCAGCAGCCAAGTCAGGAGCCTGGCCCACTGCTCCATGTGTGTCTGTCAGCCAGGGCAGCAGGCCAAGACCCGTGCCAGCCCAGGTCCCTCTGAGCTGGTTTTTGTTCATGAAAACTGAGGAAGCGGTGCTTTCCCCACAGCCGTCAGACCGACGAGAGCCAGACAGGAACACCTGCCAGCTGCAGGGCCAGCGGCCGTGACACAGTGTCCTCCCTCAGAAGTGCTGCCCGCAGGCCCCGCAGGGCAGTTCTGATGAGGGTGAGGTCAGCAATGACCGCCTCAGCCACCCACTCTGCCACGGTCCCCAGACCCCTGCGCTGACCTCACGGCAGGCCAGGCTCCAATCAGGAGGCCGAGATAAGCAGGACAATGGCCACCGGGGCCCTGGCGAGTGGACCTTGCCCGCGCGCCGGCACTCGGGACAGAGTGCTGCCCTCTCCACCATGGAGGCTCTGCTACGCCTCGCCGTGCTCCTCGCTGCCCTGGCCGGTCTCCTGCTGCCCGGGGGGAGTGGTGAGTGCGGGGCCAGGAGGAGGGTGAGGGTGCACTGGCAGGGGGTGGCCAAGGCTCTGGCTTGGGTTGCAGGCCGGTGTCAGGTGGCCTGACTGGACCTCCCCATGAAGGGGACAGTGAGGGTCAGCTCGGCTCCCACAGGGAAAGCAGGAGGGGTGGATCCAAGTCACAGGGAGTTGAAAAGAGGGGAGACAGAGCGGGGCAGGAGCACAAGACGGGGGCAGAGCCGGGGAGGGCAGAGGCAGGGACGGAGGGACTGGGTGGGAGGGATGGAGCTCGGCAGGGCAGGGAGGGCCTGGGCAGCACAGGTGCGGCTGCCCAGAGCAGAGTTTAAAGTTGTAGAACAGGCACAGCTCAAGCAGAGCTCGATGTGCAGTCCAGAAATGGGCTTTGATCCACTGAGTTTCTGCCCATGGGCAGGGCATGCCGGCAAGCTCTGTCTCAGCAGGCACTGCCTGTCTGATCGCCTTACCCGCCTGCCAGTGCCACGCAGACCCCCGCATGTCTGATGGCCACAGCGTCCTCACCCACCCAGGAGCTCAGAGTAGGGCTGAGTCTGCTGCCAGCTTCCGAGGGCCCTGTGTGCAGACCAGCTGCCAAGCTCGCTTCCACTCAAGCCAGGTGTGGCCTTGTGACCGACTGAGGGGTGAATGTGACTGCGAGGCCGTACCAGTGCCCCAAGCGGGGCCAGGGGCTGAGCCCAGGCCACGCGGTCTGTCCAGGCCTCTCCTCCTCACCCACTCTGTCCAGGGCTGGGCACAGCCATGGGGATGGGCTGAAGCAGTGGTGGCGAACCTCTGGCACGCCTGCCACAGCAGGCTGTTTGTGTCACGCAGGCTCTAGGAGGTTCGCCGTCCCTGGGATGCATCTTGCAGAGACCACATTCCAATTGAGGGGATGACACACCTGTCAACAGGTCACATCAGATGGCATCAAGTGCTGTCATGACAAAACAGCATGGGACAAGCAGTCGGAGTGGGGGGATCTCAGAGAGGTGGCCGGAAAGGGCCTCTCCAAGAATCATGCAGTAGGGCCAACTCATGTGGGTATCCAGGGGAAGCATGTCCCCGACAGGGATAGTGGCAGGTGCAAAGGCCCTGGGGCACAAGAGCACTGGGCAGCCCAATCAGCAGGTGGATCAGGCTGGAGGACAGATGAATGCAATGCAGGTACTGTTGAGGGAAGAGACCCAAGAGGGCTGGCCTTGGGAGCAGAGGCTACAGGTTCTTGTCCAGAGCTGGGGGGAAGTTGCAGCCAGTGAGTGGCTCTTGGTGTCCTTCAGCCTTATCCCCTTCCGCACAGTGCCCTGTCCCCACTGTGTCCTTGTCCCCACTGAGTCAAGCAGGGGTGGATTTGCAGGCATGCTGTACCTACTCCAGGCAGGAAAAGGTGAAGGAGGCTTTGGGGTGCATGAGTTTGGAGGAGGTCAGGAAGGACGCAGGGGGGCCGCCTGGAGAGTTGCTGGGGTCCAGAGGGAGAGAGAGCCCATTAGGGCTGTGAGCCTCACTGAGGCTCCAGGACTGAGCCGGGGTTGGCGGCTCAGTGAGTGGCTGAGTGGATGCGGGCGGGCATTCAGTGCCGCGCCACTCGCTGGAACCATGAAATCAGTGCAGCTTTTTGAAGTGAAAGAGGACAAAATCAAAATAGAAAAGTTTGCAGTTTTGTAGAAAACAAGTGAGGTTTCTTGGAACCTACCTTAATCCTGCACGTTCTGGGACCAAAGCCATCCTGCTGGGGGGTGGAGCCTGGGTGGGGCGGGGCTCAGCAGGGGCGGGGCAGCAGGACCCCGGGGTTCAGCGGGCGGGCCCGGGGGCAGCAGGCTGTGCTCAGACCCCGGGACCTTGGGTCCAGGCTCCCCAGGGAGGCGCGAAGCCCCCTGGGGGAGGTGGGGGCCGCAGAGGAGCACGCCGTCAGCGCGCGCGCCCTGCCCTTCTTATCCCCAGTGTTCACCGGCCGCGAGCGCGCGCACAGCGTCCTGAGGACCCGCAGGGCCAATGCAATCTTCGAGGAGCTGAAGAAAGGAAACCTGGAGAGGGAGTGTCTGGAGGAGACCTGCTCCTACGAAGAGGCCCGGGAAGTCTTCGAGGACGACCAGAAAACGGTGAGCTGGACTGCCGGCCCGGCAGGGCTGTCCTCCAGGGCCCGAGACAGGAAGGGGGGCCCAGTCACGTGGGCCATGCTGCCAGGTCGACCTGAAGCCTGAATGAGCACTTGGAACACTCTGGCCTGGGACTGAACTCTGGGGTAGTGGGCGCGGGCTGGGAGGCTGTGCCTGGGCTCATTTAAGATCCCGCCCACAGTCAGCACTGAGCACACCCCCAAAGAGGCGGGCTTTGCGGCTGACCCAGAAACAGGGAAACCCGGTTCCTCTCCCAAAGGAGGTGGAAGCCACAGACATCTGGATGATGGCACAGAGGATGGTGGGCTGGAGCCCAAACTAACAAGACTGAGCTAAAGATGGTCTTCAGGCTAGGGTTCCTGAGACAGCTAAGTCAGGCAGTGGATGCCAGCCACACCACTGAGACTGGACCACAGTGGAAACTGTGAGACCTGCGACCCCTGTGTGAGCTCACCA